TACTTTCAGTCTATCATTAGTTTTAAAACTTCCCAAACATTACGTCCCTAGTATGATTTACTTAAGTAATATGAGAAAATAAGTACCCAAAACATCAACTTTCCATTAACCTAAAGATTGGTTAAGACTTAGCATTTACTTCGGAATTTCCAGGAAATTGTTGCTACGAGTGGACAATTGATTGTGCTTGTTGTGAAATAATGCCTTAAGATGCCATATCCCACATTCCCTGCTGAGGCCTTAGCATTATCACTTCCAGCAGAAGAGATTACACCTTCGTGCTGCCGATTTTAGGGACATTAATGTGGCCCAGGTTTGTCATTCCTCTGTCCTCCTGTGTGGAACTCATAACAAGGATGGCCTTATTTGTAGACCCCTCTTATCGTCAGCAGCTGCAAACCACTGCCTTCACGTTTGGGTTGGGGTAGCCCCCCAGTCACAGACAATTACAGCGGTGAACTCCGAGTGTAAGCCTCGGATGCTTTTTAGAGGAAAGCGACACGGCCCGTATAGGTCCGAGAGAGATCAATCCAAACGACTATCAAAAAGGATTTACTGTTTTATGGTGTCACACAATACTATGCATAGCAACGATCTCACTGTTGTGTCCTGGTGTAAGCTGATGGTGCTCAAGATGTTCTGCATCTCATTTGCATTTATGCATTTTTGTCCTAGCTTGAGTACTTCCCTACTTGGTGGCAACTGCTCATACTTCACTTATATGTGTTTCTCTCCTGTTGCCTGTACATGGGTCTCAACGTCGCTTTCCCCACCCCCTATGTGATCACAGACAGAGACCCTACACGTCAATTAGTGTCAGTGAGTTACCCCTCTCTGTCAGAGCCAGTTCCTCCACTTTAGTAATGCGGCCTGGACGACTAAGTTATATACTAAGGTCAGGATGAGCATAAGATCGGTGACCTGTTGGCTGCTTACTACATTATTTTTGACCACGGTGATTTTTATCTTTAATATTTATTCCAGTACCGGCAGGGCATTGGTGGCTTGTACTGTTTAGTTTGTCACTCTGTCACTGTTTTTTTACTTTGTGTGCAACTAAAGGACATGATTTATGCAGTATTTTGAGTTGGCGTGAGGGTCTTAGTTGTTGACTAGTCTGTCCCTCTGACCCTACGTTTATCAGCAGGTTGGCTCCGTGTGGTGCCCTTGTTCTGTCCTGTCCCAGGCGAAACAAAACTCATGAAGAGGGAGGAAAAGACGGGGTCTAAGCATGGAGTGTAGCGAGATCACGCTCAAATGCCTGTGTTGGAGACATCCAAATTTGTTGCCCACAGAGGAGGACAAATCCCAGGACTATGGAGGCTCCGGCAATTGAACAAGGATCCAAGAGGTAGATTGATTACCTCCTGACCTCAGAGTCAAGCACTTTTATGTTTTGTAGAGAGAAAGTATGAGCACTCGGCCAAGGAGCAAATGACACGATTGGTGAGTTGCCTTGGGGGTGCTAGTGGCTCATGTGCCTTGGGGCCACGGGAATTATGTATGCGCTCTGCTGCTATGTGGTAAGCATTGCCGAGTTCGTGTGGTTCTGTCAAAAGAGATAGAGGTAATTGTATTCATTATCAATATTAGATTCACTTGTTGCTTCTGTACAGTTGAATTGTTAGTATGCTACCGCATGCACTGCAGAGCGGCTCTTAAGGTGGCAATTGTAACCCTAGAGACCCTGACCGAGCAGCCTGTTATCTAGGTTTGATCTGCAATGAATGCGTTTCTGTTGAACATTAAGCAGCGTAAGTAAACAAGTATGTGCTCTCTCCAAGGATTCATTGTATAGAAAAGATAAATGTTAAAAACAAAACCCACAAGCATATTGTTCGTACCAGCAGACAGCATCCTGTTTAAGGATTTTTGTACCACTGTTCGATGCTTGAAGGAGGAATCCTCGACTATAGTGCAAATCTGCATCCTCCACAGATGTTGTTGCTACGACAGCATTAGTGTTTACACCAAATGGCTTCAAGAGCTCATTGTGCTAGTGGATGGTCAATCCCCTTCTTCGCTGTGGGGGAATAGGGTGCGCGAGTGTTGTGAAGAGACGGTGGGGTTCGAGAGAGAAAAAAAAGCGCATCACACAAACCAATGGCCTTTCAAATGGACTTGGGATGTTCAATTAATCCATATTAAGCACTAGAAAGGAAGAGTGGTGAATATAGGCATATTTATCCCGGCCACCAGATGTGAGAATCAGCGTAGGGAGGAGCAGATCTCGCCGTGGCTGGGGCCTTGGAGTATTTTGTCACGACCATGATGTGAAAATGGGCAGAAGGGGTGGGGGTGTCTTTCCAAATGAACAAGTGTGAAAGCTAGTAATTTCCCCTAACATCGTCCGAAGTTGAATAAAGGATGAGAAATGGACACAAAACATGAACTATTTTCACATACAGCACTATGCATATTAATGACTGATATTAACAGGCATAAGCCAGGACAAATCCATTGAAGTCTAAGTCTCACATGTCTGCTATATTTGAAGTTTTAAAAATACAAGTTATTATATGTCAAGTTATCATGTACCCTTTTCAAAAGATCCTTTCTTATTTCATCTTAATTACCAAAGTGTATCAATGGTATCTGTGGGCTTTACATGAGCTTCCCACATAACCACCAGCCAGGGTATATGTTCCCAATCAAACTGTCTCATCAGCATAACAAGAAGAGATTTTTAAGGTACCTGAAAAGTGAAAAAGCCTATCACCACAGTTGGTGACGAAGTCCCCTTGTGAACAACCAATTACCTGTCAGCGACCGATTGGCTTTTGTGATTTGTCACGCTAGTGGTTCTGTGCGAAAACCAGCTCAACTATACAGAAATCCCTACAATAACATGCCGACGCCTCGCCCTAACCAATACCTGGGAACAAATATCACACGAACCCAAGTAACCTTACCTAATGAGACTAGCTATTGACTGCGACACAGTCTAGATGGATCCCCCTAGTACTGATACAAACAACTTCCCCAGCTCCAACATAAATACTCACCAATAATCACATACCATATAGGCGTACCTCAGGCACCATGTTGTAATGAAAAAATACTCACATATATCTAAGACATACGTTCCCCTAAATTAAAAAGCTGTTATGAATTATAATATGTAGATTAAAACAATTAGGAGCCAGGCGTCCACACCACAAAGACGATCTGATGGGGAAAAGAATGGTGATGTATGTCAGGCCATTCAGTGAGTAACGTTGTAACCATTAATCTCTGAATTCACAACAAGTATAATTTCCGAGGTAATGTCATCGTCACATAAGCTGCTTTTTGGCCAGTAAACACTAGTATGCACCTCAAGTACGGAACTATTACTTTTCTAAAAAGAGAACAACCTCTATAATGATAAAGTACCTGGAAAATCAATATTATCAATAATCAACGCATTCTTAAATTGTAAAAAATGATCAAACGCAAGACGAAATACATAGCAATAGTCCTTGAGAAACAGTTCATTGCAAAACTATAAGATGAAAAGAGGAACTCACGATGGGGCGTGGCCAGGCAGACACAGACATCGGAGCCGCCCCACCCCTGTAACTCTTCTATGAACGAAGTTCCCACCCCCACCCCCCCTCACACCCTCAAGACCACCCACTACCCCTTAACACGTCCGCCATAAAATACCCATAAACCCCACATCGTCATCCTACTGAACACCAACGTTAAACAAGACACACCTACATGGGTTGTCCTCCGTACATGGGATTCATTTGCACATCGAGCTTTGCAGGCCCCCTCTGTCCACCCACCTATCCTTCTAGCCCTACTGTACCCATATCCTTCCAGACAACACCGCTTGAGGGATTGGCCCTACTCAGGGGGGGGGGGGGCCCCATACCTGCCCCCATCAACATCGCACTTACCAGGCCTGACGAGCTCATACTGCGCTGGGGTGGGGCCTTCCACAGCATTGGGACAATGGGTCGCCTTTCTCTTGGAACATTTTCTCCCATAGTTTTGATGGATCCGGTTTAAATCAACCATCATCTTAGTAAAGTTAAGGCTGATGTCAGTTAAGAAGGAGTCGAGATTTACCTGAGAGGAGATCATTGCCGAGAACAAAGTAGCAGTCTAACACACTCCTGCCCTTTGTTCATAGAAGCCAATGTGTGTTCCTCGAAACACAAATTCACTAAATTCTCGGAAGCTTTCTTTATCAGACCCAACTCTATTAACAGAAAATATATACAGGATTGAGGTTATTAAAGGATACAATAAACTTGCTTTGTATTGTCAGTTAGTGGTTTTGATTGTAACCAGTGATCACATTATGCAAGTTTGTCTGCAAATATAAACCATAGGACACACCTACTTTACCTTATAATATGAACTAACAGCTACAGAGTACATTAGTGAGGGCCCATTACCTACAGTAAACTTTGAACTAAACGAATAATTGTGAATAATGGGGAGGGACCAAAATTTGTTTGTTGATTCATCTATAATACAATACTATGCTTAGATGAAGCAACAAACATTTTGGTCCCTCAGTAATCACAATTATTATGTTTAGTTCAAAGTTTACTGTAGGTAATGGGCTTAATGTAACTGTAGCTTTAGTTCATATTATAAGGTACAGTATGTGTGTTTGGTCTTCTATTTGCATACAACATGCAAAGTGATCATGGTTCAAACAAAACCACAACTGCAATACAAAGCAGTTTTTGTATCCTTTAATAACCTCAAACTGTATAATTTCTGTAAAATAGAGTTGGGTCTGAATAAGAACGCTGAGAATATAGTGAATATGTGTTTCGAGGAAACCCAATGGTTCTATGAACAAAGGTGGATTGTGTGACTGCTCTTTGTCTCTGCCTGCTCTCCTCTCAGGCTCTCGCTCCTCTTCACTGCATCATCCTTCACTTACATAAGCTGCTGGTGATAAAGGCACATCAAAACTTTGGGGACAAAGTTCCACAGAGACAGGGACTGACCAAAGCTGTTGAGGCAGCGCTGTATGAGCTCGTCCAGGCTGACTGCGCTGATGCTGGGGGCAGGACTGGGGCTGCGAAGGGCCCGGTTGATGTCTTGAGGACTGGGACATGTGTTTCGCCTTCTCTGTTGTTTCCTGCTTTTCAGCTCAGCAGAGCCCTCCACGTTGGGCTTTCTGAGAAAGAAGAATATATATGCAGCTCTGATGTTAAACTGTACAAAACATTGTTATACTGTTACTATGGAGTAAATCTTGATATTTTGTTTATTGTGTGTACATAACTATCGCTAATGTGATTCTTTCTGTTACATCAGGCCGTCGTGAGTTCCTCTAATCACTTAGTTTAGCAATGAACTGTTTCTCAAGGACTATGTAATGTATTTGTTTGGTTTGATCTTTTTTACATTTCAAGAATGTTATTATTGTATTGCATTTTCCAGTTACTTAATCATTATAGAGGAAGATCTCTTTTTAGAAATGTACTGTTCCGTATTGAGGAGCAATATAGTGTACTGCACACAGCAGCTAATGTGATGACATTACCAGGAAATTATGTGTGACTTCAGAGAACTGGTAACAAGTTCCCTGAATGGCCAGACCTACATCCCCTTCTCTAGACCTGCACGTATGTGTGTGGCGCAGGCTCTCATTTTTAAAAACAAATATAATACAAACAGCATATAATGTATGACCTTAATACAACTCAATGAATAACATACACATGGAGCCAGAGGACCGCAATGTACTGTTCTTTTTGCTACTTACAGTTTGCATATTTTCCGTATAGTCAGACCTGGGATCCATCTAGCTGTGTCGAGACACAGCTCTTCACTTCATGTCATGCTTGGTAAGTGAGCTAAAGAACCCAGTTTTGTTTAGGTTCTGTACTTCAATAACATGAGTCAAAGTCACTAATCTCAGTATAACTCACAGAGCGTGACACACAAAGCACTGGTGCTGACATGTCATTGATGTTCAAGGGGACTTTCCCCAACAGTTTTGCAGGTATTACACTTTTCAGTCCCGTAACATCTCATCTTGTTCCTGCTGCAGAGCGATAGTTGGGCCATAAACCCTGGTGTTGGTGCAGCTCATGTAAAGCATGAACATTTTGTATTAAGATAGAAATAAGAAAGGAATCTTTTTGAAAGGGTCCCGTTAACTTGACATATTATATACTGGTATTTTAAACTTCAAATATAGCAGACAGAGAATTTGACTTCATGAGATTTGTCCTGCTTATGCCTGTTATATAGTCATTATATCATAGTCTTATGTGAATAGATTCATTTTTTGTGTCCTTTCTCATCCTTTTTCAATTCAGAGATTTAAGAAAACAGTTTCACTTGTTCTTTGGAAAGACTCCCCTCACCCTTCTCCCATTCCCATCATGTCGGGACTACTGGCGGCAGCTCTGGTCCTCCCTCCTGATTCTCACACTGGTGGGGGAATATGCAAATTCCTCTCTTTCTTTGCTTAATTGATTAATTGAACTCCAAGTCCATTGAAGGCCTTGTTTGTGTGATGCTCTTTTTTTCTCTCAGCCCCCACTCTCTCACAACCTGCGCCCCTTTCCCCCACATCGAGGGGATGCATCCACAGCAAAGAGCTCTTGAAGCCATTTGGTAAACACTAATGTATAGCACAAAATCTGTGGAATCAGATGCACTTTAGTCGAGGATTACCTTCAACTAACAGTGTAAATAATCCATAAAAGGTGCTGCTGGTCAACAAATGATGTGGTTTTGTTTTAACATTATCTTTTCTATACATGAATCATTGGAGAGTGCAAACTTGTTCTTACTGCTTAATGTTCAACAGAAACGCTTTATTGCAGATCAACCTGATAACAGCTGTGGTCAGGGTTAGGGTTACAATGCCACATTAGACAGCTCTGTATGCAGCTGAGCAACTAACAATTCAACTGTAAGCAACAAGTGACTATATTGTAATAATACAATACCTCTATCTATTTTGACAGAACCACAAACAGGCAATGCTACACATAGCAGGTGCATACATATTTCCCTGGAAGGACATGAGCCACAGCACCCCAAGCACTCCAATCGTGATTTGCTTTGTCCAGTGCACTTTCTACAAAACATTAAGTGCTGACTCTGTCAGGTGTAAAATTACCTCTTGGTCTTGTTCATTGCCGTGCTCCTGTCCTGGGTTGTCCTCCTCGTGGGCAGATGATGTTCCACACAGGCATTTGAGCGTGCTCCTACAGCTCCATGCTTGACCCCGTCTTTCCTCCTCTCATGAGTTTGTTTGCCCAGGACAGAGCAAGGGCACAGGACCAACTGCTGCTGAGGGTGAGGACAGACCAGTCACAACAGACCTCACGCCAACTCAAAATACTGCTTAATCTTGTCCTTGTTGCACACAAAGTAAAACAGTGACATTGACAACAAAATGTCAAGCACCAATGCCCTGCAGGAAGGTATAAATATTAAAGAAAAAACACTGGCAAAATAAAGTAGAAGCACCAACAGACCGCTTTGCTCATCCCTTAGTATAAACAAGTCTGCATCTTACTAAATGGAGGAACTGGCTCTGACAGATAGGGGAACTCACTTCACTTTGAGTGAGGGTTTGTGTGATCACAAGGGGGAGGGGTGAGCCCTGACAGAAGGAGAGAAACACATATTAGTGAATATGAGCAGTGCCAACAGGGGAAGTACTCAAGTATGACAAAAAGATAATGATGAGCAATCATCTGAGCACCATCAGCATACTCCAGGAAGTGAGAGTTGCCTATCAAAGTGTGACACCTAAAACTTAAATCTTTTTGATAGTGTTGAGGATCTTATCTTACCTAACTGGCCGTGTCATTTCTCTAAAAGCAAGAGGTTACACTGGAGTTAGTGTCTGTGCTGGTGAATGCAGTGGTGCAGCTGGAGAGGGGTCTCAAAGGCATCCTTGTTATGAGACACCAGGAGGAAGAGGCATGCAAACAGGGCACATTAATGTCCCAAAGGCAGCAGAGGTGTCCTCTCTTCTGCAGGAAGCTGTCTGTCAGGCTGGGAAAGTGTGATATGGCATTTAAGCGCCTTATACACAAAGCCACATAGTCCATCCGTAGCACCCATATCCAGAAAACCGAAAATGCACGTCTTCCCCACATTAGTAATGGAGTGATGTTATGGTCTTCTTTTCTCATATTACTTAAGTAACAACTAGGAAGTCATGTTTGGAGTTTTAAACTAATGATGCTGACAGTAATACAGACTAGTTATTTTCTGCTATCCTCTATGACTTTATATGACACCTGTATTATTTTACGGTAGCGATCTGGACCCAGTCTTGTGACCCATTCCAGCATAAATATTAGTAACAATTACATCTCCGAATTGAATTAGGAGAATAGTTTATGGGAGCGTTACCCTTCTCACCCCGTGCACGTGCTCACGGGAGCGGGAACGGGAGCCCTGGCTTTAGTCTACGGCTTTAGTCTACGGCTTTACAGTCTACGGCTTTAGTCTACGGCTTTACAGTCTATGGCTTTACAGTCTACGGCTTTACAGTCTATGGCTTTACAGTCTACGGCTTTAGTCTACGGCTTTACAGTCTATGGCTTTACAGTCTACGGCTTTACAGTCTATGGCTTTACAGTCTACGGCTTTACAGTCTATGGCTTTACAGTCTACGGCTTTACAGTCTATGGCTTTACAGTCTACGGCTTTACAGTCTATGGCTTTAGTCTATGGCTTTGACGCGGTGGAGACAGCAGCTCATCCTTGTGCAATGTCGCCATCTTGAGTTTTTGCAGCTACATTGTCAGGAGCACAGACCCCCAGAGCAGCAGCAGCAGCAGCAGCAGGAGCAGATAGAGGTGGGTTCGTGAGTCGGCAAAACAAGTGCCTGTCATTTGCTGCTTGTATTTGATGCAGTGCTATTGTTAATAACCCGGAGGGGGATTTCGTTACAGTGTTGCGCAGGTCAATGGTGGCTGGCCGCGGCGTGAGGAAAGCTGAAGGATGCCAGATGGGGAGTAAGCAGGTGAGCGATGCACTAAATATATATTTATATTTCTTCTCCAAATGATCGTGACAAGCTGCTTCAATGTGCAACAGATTTCACTATATCGCCCGCAGGAAACGGACACCATGTGCTGTCAGTCCTATGCAGACAGTTAATAAGGTCCTCCCATGTTGCCCTGTCTGGACATTGTATTTCATTTATCATGTTTTATAGGTTGAAAGAGCTGTGCAAGTCTCATAGCTTTTTATATGCATTATTATTACATCATTACTTCAGATTGAAAGATCAAGGCTATGCTCACACTCAGAGAGCAGCCGTCCTCCTGTGGACTCACCACCTGCAGAGGGTCAGTGAGGGGCTGGTGCTATGAGACTTGGGTGGCATCTCTGACTGCCACCCCCCTGACCCAGAAATGGATTAAAGGGTAGAAAATGGATGGATGGATGGATACTTCAGATTTTATAATATATATTTTTATATGTTTTATACAATTTACTTTAGCCTACTATCTAACTTAATATATCATTCAATCCTTACTAATTTATGCTCATATAAGTTTATTGCTATATGTCCTCCATAGGATATGATAGTGAATGTGTGTTAATTCATATATATATATAATCTTTATTCCGGACTCAGGGTCCATACAAGAGACAACACAAGGACACCACAAGACACAGAAACATAAAAAATAAAATAGCAAAGTCTAAGGACTCATTTACAAAGACACTTGTACCAGTGTTCCCAGAACTGAGAAATATAGCGTGTTGTACTGAACTTGGCATTCACCAAAACAACAACAACCAGGTTCACAGACTCGTTCAATCGGCGAATAAAACTAAACATTGCATTTCTCAGGACAGACTTCAGTGTGTTCACTCTGTTGCTCACGAACAACTCACTCGCTCGAGTCGATCTGGGCTTCTTTAACAGCATCCTCAGAGCGTCATTGAAAGCTACCTGCAGCTTCTGAAGAGTAGCTTTTTTGTAGTTCAACCACAGATGTGCAGAGTATAAAGGAGAGCAGTAAGCTTTAAATAAGGTCAACTTCACTTCAAGAGTGCAGCAACCAAATTTACGCACCAAAGCATTCGCCCTTACATACAACAAACGATACTGCCGAATAATGTCCTCATCATCTGTCAGCCGATCTGTGATCAGATGGCCAAGATATTTAATTTCACTACAGATATTAAGAACCTTTCCAGCAAGTCGAAAAGCTGGAAAGATTAAATGTCTGTCCTCTGTGGTTCTGCAGATCATAATGGCACTTTTGGAATCATTGTACTTTACATCATGATTTTCCCCAAACACTGAACATATACTAAGAAGTTGCTGCAGACCAGCTGAGCTCGGACTAAAAATGACACAATCATCTGCGTACATTAGATGGTTCAGCACTGTGCTGCCAACCATGCAGCCAGTTTTACATGAGTTAAGACTATGAGATAATTCATTCATATAAAAATTAAATAAAATTGGGGATAAGATGCTCCCTTGTCTTACTCCATTACTCAAATGAAAGGGAGCAGACAAGCAGCTGTCCCATTTCACTTGCATGGTCTGTTGGGCATACCAATATGACAGGATTCTGACAATGTATTGAGGGACACCTGCTGCAACCAATTTCTTGAATAGTTTCCAATGATTCACTCGGTCAAATGCCTTAGATGCATCTAAGAAACACATAAAAACAGTTGAGTTTTTGCTCCTATAGTTGTTTAAAAGTTCCTTTAGGACATAAATACACATATCCGTAGAATGTTTTGGTTTAAAACCAAACTGATCATCTGTAGAAATAATCAGTTCATTAATCCTCTCTAGGAGAATTAGTTCCACAACTTTGGATAAAATATTAGCTAGAGCTATAGGTCTATAGTTATCAGAGGAGCCCACTTTTCCTGCTTTGTCTTTAATTACAGGAGTCATATTTCAAGCTCAATTTCAAATAGTGTTGGTCATTTCAATAGGCAAGGCAAGGCAAGTTTATTTGTATAGCACAATTCATACACAAGGCAACTCAAAGTGCTGAACAAAATAAGAAAGCATTAAAATCATAAATAATCACAGTACATTAAAAAGAAAGATAGAAATATACAATCCTCCACAATTTTGAATGTACTGCAGCTGTTTTAAAGCCTGTTTGGACAGACCTGTGAGCAGGCCATTGCAGTAGTCTAACCTACTGGAGACAAATGCATGGATAAGAATCACACACTATGTTTTTGATCCTGGCAATGTTTTTTAGGTGGTAAAAAGCTGCTGATGTTACTGATTTGATGTGGCTATTAAAATTTAAGCCTGAGTCCAGTATTACCCCTAGATTGCTGACCTTGTTTGAAGGTTTTAGGGAGAGAGACTGGAGGTGACAGATGAAAATCAAAAATGTCCAACAGTCTTTTTTTTTTTTCTTCTTTCGCAAAGAAAAGCCAAAAAAAAACAAACAAGAGAGCTCTTTGGAGGAACTCATTGTCAGTTTAAGGTTCCATAGTAGTGGTTCACGTTTCTTTTATAATTTAACTATTTCACTCCATGTTTCTAAATGTATTCTGTCTTGTAGCATCGTACTCAGACATGAAGCTCAAGCGGATGTTCAGACTGAAAGACCGAGTGCCTGCCAGCCTCGAGCCTCAGCCAATCACACAGCTCTGCCAGCCTCGAGCCTCAGCCAATCACACAGCCAGGCCAGCCTCCTGCCAACCCTCTCAGAGCAAAGCGGGCAGTTTAAAAGGCAGCCACTTCCTGACAAACAACGCTTCCTGAGGCTCTTAAACACCCACCACCTCCCCGGCACCCCCTCTGGCTCTTGGCTCCCGCTCTGGCTCCCGCTCTGGCTCCCGCTCTGGCTCCCGCTCTAGGCTCCCACTCCGGCTCCTGCTCCGCCTACGCCCCATTCACACCATACTCTAGCCACCACCAGTGATTGACCCCGGGGGATCTGAGATCATCTCAGCTGCAATCGATCTCATAGCTGCAAGTGTCACTGCCGGGGTCAATGCGCCAAACAAATAAATCATTTTAATGTATTTATCGTGTCTTTGGTCTCTTCAGATTGAACTGCTGTTGTGGTTGGTGGGAGGGAGTCTGTCTAACTCATGGTCTAACTAGGTGCTGGCCCCTCCCTGAGCCGTCACTCCCTCCTTTGCTCCTTTGTTGGGGGGATGCGAGG